AATCTCCCGAATTGCCAGAAGAGAAGTAGAGTTCACAAAAATGATTGGGTACCCTAACCAAATCGAAGGCCTCAAGAGGTAAAAAGATGGGGAGTGCCTTTTGATATGTCATCTACTAAATCAAACTGAAACAGTCCTTCCATAGACCTGAGGAAGAGCTGGTGCCAATCAATACAACAGCGAAAGTATGGCCTAGGATAAGAAGAAAGCAGTAAGGTCAGCAGTTCAAATGACACCTTTATTGAGTTCTGGAAGAACACGGACGACTCAACACCTCTTGACATTTAGGCCTCTCTAGTCAGTTCATCATAGCAAACAGCATACAAGACTGGTCAAGAGGTGACACGACTAAATGGAAGGCGAAGGCGATCGCGAGCTTTACAACGTACCGGTCCGAGTGCTAATTCATAGATTTGAAGATCTTTATACTCGGACTTATAGAGGATACCGGGACTACTGACGCCATACTTATGGTGCGGTGGAGCTTTGAAGATAAGACAATGATGACGAGTCATAAGAATATAAAAGAGAGCGTCCTGCATATAGCCTATGAAGAAAGCTTTGGATAAGGTAATAATTAACTGGATAAGGTATAGCTTTGACTGCACTACCCCATTCACTTGGCTCGTGGCTCCGAGGTTGTCCATTGGATGTATATAGGTAACTAATACTCATATATGGCTTCCGAAGAATACATCAAATGAATAAGGATGATCTTCATCGGAGTCACGAGCCAAGCGAACTGGGTAGAGCAGTCAAAGCGATAGTGCATAAAGATTGGCGTACATCAGGATCCGATGCTCTCTCCTCATCATCATCGCACTCACGCGGTGACGGACGGTCTCAACGGTCTCAACGACAGCCTTCATGGGCGTTTCTGTACTCAGATGTTGTCGTCCTACAGCAGGAAGTACAAATCGACTCAAATAGGCTATACGATAGGTAGTCGAGTCTTTGCTGAAGGAGAACTTCAGATGCTATTGGCCAGGAAAAGTGCGGCTTGGATAAAATGAAACTCCACAAGAGTTTTGTTTGGTAAAGGAAAGCCGGTGCAAGTAAAATCGTTAATGTATAGTACCGTAATTCGTTCAACAGAGTTCTGGCAGTAATTTTTGGTTTTGTAAGCGTAAA